GGGTCCACCCCTCAGGCAGCAGGTCACACAGTCAAGAGGCTCCCACTGGAGCCATGTTAGGGAGGTCTTTGTGCGTTAGGGCGTAGCTTGCTTGTGAACTCTCAGAGCGTGGCCTCCCCCAGGGCTGACAGGCACCCACCCAGGTCCAGCAGCCCACACAGATGAGGCAGGAGGACGCCTCGGCCTGACGCACAGCCAGGAAGGAAAGGCACACGGGTGTACCCAAGGAGCGACCAGCGTGGGTGGCCAGGAGCTGCATGGGCTGAAACTCCTGGGGTGCCCTGTGGGGATGCCAGCCTCTGCGTGACTCCTGCAGGCCACAGCGCAGCTGAGCAGAAACACCCAGGGACAGCTGGGCTCTCCAAGCCGATGGCCTGGGAGGGAGCGTCTAGCCAGGAGTGGGCCTGCCCCTGGCTAGGCCCTGGCCACAGATCAATCGGCTGACATGGGCAGAGAGCACGCCACAAAACTGCTGGGGATCATTAGAAACCCAACAGGGAAGGAACTGTGACCGGGAAGCAGTGCCCAGCTTCCCGGGGTCACCATCTGAGAGTGGGCGCCACAAGGGGCCCATGAGTCCAGACTTGTGTCCAGGCCGCTGAGTGTGCACGTGTGTCTGCTTAGACAACATCAGTGCTCACTAAGAGGCCTTCTGGGCTCCTGATGGGAAGGAGGGACTGCACCTGCCTGTGAACCAGTGCCCAGTGAGACTGACCTTAAGGCCTGTACGAGGTTGAGATCAGCAAACTCGTGGAGTTCCACAAAAGCCTGGAGAACTTTGATGTTAAACTCGTCCCTAGGAGAGGAAAGAGGCATGTCCTGAGCCCAGGGCGTCCCTCATGACGAGGCTGCAGAAGGTGCCTGGGGAAATCCCTCCGTCTTCCAAGTCCATTTTCCTTCCAGCTCTTTGAAGCCCCCTCGTGTCTTACTGCCTTCATTTTTATTCAAAGGGAGGGCCTTTCCTAAAGTACGCTTCTAATGCAGTAGGGAGCCCCGGTGCGCTGCTGGGTGAGCATCGGATCGCTGATCACAGGTCTGCGGTTCAAACCCACCAGCCACCCAAAGGGAGAAAGAGGCGGTGGGCTGCTCCCCGAAGGAAAGCCTGATGCAGGGTCACTATGAGTCAGAACTGACCTGGTGGCATGAGTGTGCTTGGCTTTGGAGCTCTGCGAGACTAGAAGACTGTGTTTCAGTTAAGAGAGGACGTTCTAAGACTTTACAGCATCGCTGCTACGATTCAAGGACCAGGACATTGCAGAAGCCCTGCAGCACACACCACAGCCAGGAGCCAAACCCTGGCACTGCCGAGGTGCTCAGCAGAATGTTCTCGTCTCTCAGACACGGCTGTCCAGTAAGAGACTCCGGAAGTGGACGACACTGGCCCCCAGGGTGGTCCTGCAATGATGGGGGGGGGGGCACTGCAAAAGACAGGTACCCACATTTGATTCTGGCTGATGGGCGAGAATACAAATTGTCTGAATGGCCAGGGGGTGCTGAGTCAGTCTTTTCTTCTTCTGGAAAGGGGGTGGTGGTAGGGCAAGCACTGGCCTGCCAGTTTGTCACACTGGTGGCTTGCATGTAGCTGTGATGCTGGAAGCTCCATCACTGGTATTTCCGACACCAGCAGGGTCACCCAGGGGAACAGGACTCGGCAGAGGCCCCAGACTAGGAGCGGGCTACAAAGAACGACAGGCTGTCCACTCCGCAGGAATGAGCCACGGGAAGCCCCGTGGATAGCAGCGGCCGGTCGGACACTGGAAACCCAGGAGCAGCAGCAGCAGGACACTGGCAGGGAGGGGGCTGGGAGAGGAGCGTCTTGCTTGGAAGGGACTCGACCCGACGTGGCTGCAGGCACTGGCTCAAGCCTAACCACCATTGTGAGGTTGCTGCGGGACAACTGGGTGGATTTAGTTCCATTGTGCGTGGGGTCGCCATGAAACTGAAGCAGCTTACGGACACTTAATAACAGGCCACGTGCGTCGGGCCCTCCGCAGTGGGTGCTCTGCTTGTTCCCACCTCACAGGTGTTTAGGAGCTGGGGGCACTAATGTGAAGGCCCCCAGCGTCACACACACCACAAAGCAGACAGATGATCCTGTGAGCTCTGGTGCAGACCTGTACAGCAGTCAAACGGATTCCGTCATCCAGCAAGTCACGTGCGCATTTCTGCTTTCCCAGTGCATTGCACAAAAGCAACACTCACGCCAGTCTGTTCAGTTGTGCAAAGGCATATACAAAAGTCTGAGACAGTCTGAAAATTGCCAAAATGTGATCCAGAGACCCATGTGAGCACGTGCCATTGGAAAAACGGCACAGGTAGACTCTAGATGCAGGGCCGTCAAAAGTCTTTGATTTGTCAAAAATGCACCTTCTGTTAAGTACAATGCACCTGGGTCTGGCTGTACTGGGTAGCTCTGGAAGGAGCCTGGGAAAGAGGATCCCGTTAAAAATGAACTAAAAGGTGTGAGATTTTACACCAACAAGATCGTAAGACCATCTGCAAAGAGATGCAATTTTACTTCTTCCTTTCCAATCTGAATGCCTTAAAGTTCATTTATTTGCCTAATTACGCTGGCTGGAACGCCAGTGCCATGCTGAAAAGACGTGGGGAGAGCAGACACCTGTGCTCCATTTCCGATCTCAGCGCTAAACAACTGGTCTTTTACAACTAAGTGCAATAGCTGTGGGATTTCCAGAGACCTCTCTCATGGGGCGGGGGCCACTATCCCTTGTTCGGGTGTGTGTATCACGGAGAACTGATGAATTTTAACAAACCCCCTTCCTCATCTGAGGCGGCCGTGTGGTTTTGTGCCTTACACACTGATTGGCTTTGGAACCATCCTTGCATTGCTGGGCTAAAGCCCCCTCAGTCACGCTGCACAGCCCTCGTTAGACACGGCTGGGTTCCAGCTCTGATCTCCGCATCTATAAAGACGTTTGAGGGACATTTTCTGTCATCTTTTACTGCTATTTTCCATGTTTCTTATAAAAGGCATTAGCCTGATGCTGTGACGTCTGTCTGGTTTGGGCATCAGGGTAGCACGGGCCTCGCAGGATGAGCTGGGAAGCATTCCCCTTGTCACTTTGATGACACATCTCGAACAGAAAACTGCACGCAGAAGTCACCCTTAGCGAGCAGTTGCTAGACTTGTAAGGTCGGCCCTCACATCTGTGCAGCAGAGTAAATGGACTTCTCAGGTTGGGAGGCTGAGCTGCTGGTTTCCGCCTTAAAAAATAACTTCGAGAGTGGGGGAAGCGGGGAGGGAGGGGGGGAAATGAGGAGCTGATGCCAGGGGCTTAAATGGAGAGCAAATGTTTTGAGAATGATGAGGGCAATGAATGTACAAATGCGCTTTACACAATTGATGTGTGTATGGATTGTGATGAGTTGTATGTGCCCCTAATAAAATGATTTAAAAAAATGACAACTTCCCCCAGTTTTCACACCCCAAGGGGAGGGTGGGGGGGAAAACCACTCAGAAATCTGGTGTCTTTCCAGGGAAAATACCAGAAGACCCAGAAAGCTTTCTGACACAAAGAGAAAGAGGCAACGGCATTTCCAGTTCTACCAGGGGTCTTTCAAGAAGGGCACTCCAAAGACCACAGGGCCCACCTAGAACCCCCGAGCTGCTCTCTCCTCAGGAGGGCATGGCGAGGAGGTGACGGCCCTGGGGTCACTCCGATTGAGGAGCAGCTTGTGTCCCCCCACCCCTTGCCCAGGGCAAACTAACTGCGACAGACCCGCAGTGGAGGCCGAGCCCGGGCCGGGCCGGCTCGTCCCCTTCAGCCTACCGTTCGCCCAGGTAGTCCCCGATGACGGTCTTGTTGAGCCCCTCCCCTTTGTACAGGAACTGGGCCACGTCCTCCGGGGAACTCTGCAGCAGGTCGTTCTCGATGAGGAACTGGATTCCCTGGAGGAGCAGGCGGAAGGTGAGGAGGGTCACACAGGTCCTTTTCCTCAGACGGTTCCAGGCGCTGAGTGCACAGCTCCGGCAGGTGTGGGCACCAAGGGCCCAAGCTGGTCTGCAAACCTTCCCACTGCACACGGCACCCACAAAGGCAAGCCCCTCGCCCTCCTGGCAAGCTCACAGGTGAAAAGGCGGTGTGCCGAAGCTAATGAACAAACCGTCGCCAGTGGTGATTAGAGATAACCATGACCCAAGTACCAGCAGCTAACTGTCCCGGTGGAGGGGACAAAAGGTCCCTTCTGTGTCGGGAGGGCTCAGTGCGGCTGGAGGCAGGACAACAGCAGTCCTCCCCGACCCGAGTCTGGCAATCCTCCTCTTGAGTAGTCACTGCCAGCCTCCCCAGCAGCTAGAGAGGACTGTGTGACTCTGACCTGGACCCGCACACAGAAAGGAGGCTGCGGGGAGCACTTGGGAAGGGTCTGTTTCTCAAAGGGGACCCTGTGGCGGGCACAGCTCAGCATGCCTCCCATCCTGCCTCAAGTTGGGTGTGGTGCTGGAACCATGGTGGTGATCTTGTGGTGAGGGGAACCCAGGTGCACACAGAGACCTTGGTCCTGTAACTTGGGAGTCACGCAGCAGTGGCGCTGGCGGCTCTTACAGCTTGCTCTACTGGTGGGGGGAGAGAACAGCCCATGGATGATTTTAGCCTCTGTAGCTGGAGTCTGCTACCTGTGGCTGAACAGGTGCATACACCAGGCCCTGAGCTTCCCCACCAACGAGGGGACTTGGACCCATAGTAACACTGTAGGCAGAAGGCTTCTGAGGTTATAAATCTTTAGAGCAGCGGTTCTCAACGTGCGGGTCGTGACCCCTTTGGGGGTTGAACGACCCTTTCAAAGAGGTTGTCCGATTCATAACAGTAGCAAAATGACAGTGATGTAGCAACGAAAATAATGTTATAGTTGGGGGTCACCACCACATGAGGAACTGTATGAAAGGGTCGCGGCATGAGGAAGGTTGAGAACCACTGCTTTAGAGGCAGACTGCCTCATGTTTCTCCAGAGGAGTAGCTGGCTCGGGGGTCCTAGGTGGGCCCTGGGGTCTTTGGTGAGCAGCCGAACACTCAACCCTCTGCACAACTCGGACCCCTCCATTGAGCCTGGGTCTGCCTCAGCCCAGGCCCACTTTCAGGACCCACAGGGTCTGGCTGGGAATCGGGGGCAACGGTGTCAGAGGGCCGAGGCCAGGCTAGCAGTGCCTTTGGGACGGCACGATGACGGCACAGATGGCTGGGAGCTTCCTCGGCTACATGCTGGCAGGGCTGAGGAGGGAACGGGATTGCGTCTCTTTGCATTTTAGTTTGGCACTAAGACACATACCAACGCAACGGTTACTGCATGCACCGCTGAGCTGTGCAACCATCCTCCTCCTCCTCGTCCAGACACGCACAGCCCTCGAGGGTTCCACTCTACGCTTGCGAGTTGCTGCTGCCACTCGCAGTGTTCTCCAAAGAGCCTCACACGTCTCCTTTGCTCGCTGAGCTAAACGGCTGTCTGGTCTTAAGAAGGCCTCATGGGACGGTTTGGTTTTCGGCTTAAAGATGGTCTCAGAGAAGTCATTACAAGGTTCACCCAGGAAGTCTACAGCCAATTAGAAAGTAAAACCCTTTGGGGTGTTTTCCTTCCTTTGATCAGATCATTCCATAGAATCTTTGATCGAAGGGTCCAGTCACGGTAGTTGGGTTCCACCTAGTTCTTCTGGTCTCATGGCCAAGGAGGTCATCATTAGTCACACACCCTGTTCCCTCCTCCTGTTCCGGACCCTCCTTCCTCTGCCCCAGGTGAATAGAGGGGAGAGAAAACTGTGCCATCTGTCTGCCAGGGGGATGTTTCTACAAACCCGGCAATGCCGAGGAAGGGCTCACCTTCTTGGGATCCATGTTGAACTTCTTCCTCCCCATGGCTATCTGCTTGTTCCTCTGCGTGGTTTTGCTATTGTTTAGAAAGAGACAAAGAGGCACTTCAGGATGTTTCCATGAAGCTGAAAGACGGCACGGTCTGGCATGGCCCGGCTGCGTCTCACTTCCTCCATAGGCTGCCCTCCCCACAGGCACCACCACCACCAGTACCACCAGAGGATGAGGAGGAGTCACACCCTCACACCCCACCCACCCCCGGATAGAGGCAGACACCCTCTGGCTGCCGTGTTTCTTCTGACACTGAATAAGTGTGATCACTCCTGAAAAGGCTAGCGGTGAACATCAGCACCCCAAACAGCCCAGCGGATGCTGCCACTCACTTGTGGCTTCCCAAACCCCCAGCAGCAGCTGGTGGAGAAGAGCGGGTTGGGGGCAAGGGGGCTTCCAGGGATGGAGCCCCACTTGACTCTGGCGCAAAGGGCAGGAGAGCTCCAGGGTAGCCCTTGAAGAGAGGACCAGGCCATGGCTGGCACGCACGTGTGTGTAGGGGAGGGGTGAAATCTGGGAGTCCCCCCATGCATGCACGCATGCACACACGCACGTACCTCTCCTCCACAGACGTCAGGTTGTCAATCTCTGTCATCACTTCTGCAATCTCGTATTTCAGCCGCTGTTGAGAAAGCAGGTCGGGCAGAGGAAGGTGGGAACGTGTCACGTAGACTCTCTCCTCCCGGCCTCCAAGTTTTCTGGCTGCCCGTCTCCCTGGGGCTCTCCCAGGTGGGCATCACTGAACCAGCCTTGGAGACCGCGGGTTCCAGCCCGCTGCAGTCAGGCAAAGATGGCGGCAAGCCAGTGAGTGGCTCTGTCCTGGGCTCCTCGTGGACAGAGAGGCAATGTGGACACAGGTGGCCGCCTGTGACGTGTGACAGCGAGATGAGAAAGTGACCGACCCTGAGAACGCCCAAAATGGGACAGAGACGCAGGATGTGGGCGCGGGTGGCTGGGAAAGTGGGGCTGACCGACCAGCTGGCACAGGGTGGCTACAGACCTCTGGTGGGCAAAAAATGTCCTGTCTCCGCCGAGCAGTGAGGCAAATTCTGCCTGTCCCTTTATCGAGACAGCCAGTCTCTCTGTGATGGCCACCATGGCTCAGGAGAAAACAAAATGAGAACTAAGCCCGCACCCATCAGATGTGCGATCAGAAGGCAGAGGGTACACCGGGCGGGTTCTATTCTGTGTAAGGTGAAGAAGCCCTGCCAGCAAGCCCATGCTGGCTCACAAGTAGAACTGCCCGTGGGGGTCTCAGACTGTCCCTCTTAGGGGAGCAGACAGCTTCATCTAAGGTCATCTCCTGCTGCAGCAACTGGCAGGCTTGGACAGGGGCAGACAGCCTCCTCTCTCTCCCTGACAACAGCTGGCAGGCCGGACCTGCCGGTTTTAGAGTTGGCAGCCCCATGTGTCAGAACCCTACCCACTGCGCCCCAGGGCTGCTTCTGGAGGAAGGACAAGAGCAGCCCAAGGGGAGGAATGTGCCACGTGTGGTCCTGCAGGCCTGGCTTTCTCCAGCATTGCTCCTCGGGTTCTTGTGACAATAGGGAGATGCTAACACTGCGCCATGGTCAGGTGCAACTTGACTTCCCTGGTCTCAGGTTGACCTCCATCAGGAGCAGTGGTTGAGTTCGAGGCAGGACTGCTGATAACAGGGCTCGCAGATGAGCTAGAAATTGCAGCAGGGGCTGGCAACCCTTCCCCCACCTTTCCTACCATGTGACTCTCCACCTCTGTGGCTGGGAGACCCTTTGGCAAGTCACCTACCCTCTTCTGGGCCTTGGCACTTTCAGCTTCCAAAGGAAGCCTGAGGTATCGGAACTACTCTGAGATTCCCATGAACTCGGAGTCTCTGGGCTCGTCACCAGTGATCCCCATGGCAGGCCGGTGCTCTCAGGGGACACTCCCATTCTTGGGCCCAAAGCCACTGGGCTGGGTTATCTGGGTTTTCCAAGAACAGAAGGGAACTCGAGCAGAAAGCATTCCACGAAACACCTTCCGAGTACACTCGAGAGGTTTCTGTTTGGAACCTCATGACTTGGAGCCAGGAAACCGCCGACACAGAGCAGCAGCTCCTAGAATGGGGTGATTGTCTGGGCTGGGCTGGGCTCCCAGATCATAGTCTGGGAGGCCACATTTATCTTGGCATGACAGCGATGGGGTGCTCCTCAGGGGAAGGCTCATATCTAACTGACTCTCCTCTTTCTACAAAGGGGTGGGAAACTTGGAGCCGGGGCAGTGGCAGACGGGAGCAGGCTGCAGGGCTGGCCCTCTGCAGTGGAAAGCACAAGGTCTGCCTGTGTCTGCCATCTTTGTGCCCCTTATCCCTGTTCTCCTAATAGCTAGCAGGGTACTGCGGGCACCATAGGAGCACCACCGGTGCTTTAGTCCCTCATTCAAAAAGTATCTATCTGCCAACACCTGGTTTGCAGGAGGCTGTGGATGGCAGTGGAAGCCCAGAATCCATTTGCGGCGCTCCCACTTGGATTAAGCCTCCAGTGATGCCACTCTGAGCATGGGCCGGGATGTGAATAGCCTTGTTACCACACGGAGCACATGCAAAGTGGGTGAACGCAGAGGTAGTCAGGGTAAAGAGCCACAGGGCAGTTCCACCTGGTCCTACGGGGTCCCGATGCGTCAGCGAGTGGGAGAGTGATGGACAACGAGGAGCTAATAATAGTAAACACAAAAAAGAAAAAATGACGAATCCTTCTAAAATGGATCATGGTGACGGTTGTGCCACACTTTGTAATATGATTAAACCACTGAATTGCAAAAGGTCAATAAACAAAAAGCATCCGAGTGTCCGGAACGTCACGGGCCCAGTGCTGGGTGCTGGGCGGGAGGGGCCCTGGGACAAGGCAGGCCTGGAGGCCCACGTGTGGCGAGGAGCCCACGTGTGTCGAGGCTGCAGCTGCTGCCTTGCGTCTTGGGAGAGGGCCTCCTCCTCCATCACCCCATCTCCCGCTCTTTCACCTCCGACATGTGCCCCAGCCGACCTGCCCAGCATGGTGGTCTGAGTCTACCAACCTGGATGCCTGTCACCATTTCTCCATGTGACTCCTCCGAACACACCCTGGGCACCCCGTCTCCCACAGGGCCCCCCCACGTTTTGTTTTGCTTTTTTAAACCCAAAGGCCAAAGCAGAGTCTCGAGTTTACCTCAATGTCATCGATGAGTTCCTTTTTCCTTCGACGAATGTCTATGAGTTCTTCTCTCTCCTCTAATGACAGGTCTTCCGGCACTGAAAGGAAGAGGGGGAAACATCACATTAAACTACCCGACAGCCACCGCTTGTCCGGAGCACAGTGTGGGACTGTCCAGTCAAGCAGCCTGGCGACTCTGCCCCTTAAGGACGGCCCAGCACATGCCCTGGAGATGATACTCAGGGCAGCTTGGCTGTGACAGAGACCACACAAGACTGCTGGGCCCCTGTGCAGCCTGCAGAAGGCACAGACCACAGATGGCCAGACACTGACAACGTGCACCACTGTAGTATTAAATTTTAAAAAATCGTCGCTGGGGGGTGAAGGGCCAGCCCCCACCCGCTGATACTCCTATCGCTACTACTCGGATTCAGTAATACTACTTCTGGGTTCGGTAATGCACAATTGTACGGTTGAGATATATAAGCATTATATTAAAGTCATTGAGAGCATGAGAGATAATACAAAATACAGTCAGGCATGTTACATAGTACCATTGCTCACCTCAGCCCAGCTTGGT